ATTTATAGTGTTTCAACAAGCTGCCGAAGCACTCCTCTATGCCAAGAAATTTGGAGAACAGTTACTTATCCAACTGACTGGAAGAGAGTCATATTTGTACTCATTCCAAAGAAAGGTGATGCAACAGAAGGTGAAAATTATTTTTAAAATTACTGACGTCATATGCAAGTACATTAACAGAAAACTGTCAGAGATTCAGGCTGGATTTAGAAGAGGCTGCGGAACAAGGGATGCCATTGCAGATTTCAGATGGATCTTGGCTGAAAGCAGAGAGTACCAGAAAGATGCTTACATGTGTTTTATTGAATATGCAAAGGCATTCAACTGTGTGGATCATAACAAACTATGGATAGCCTTGAGAAGAAAGGGAATTACAGAGCATTTAAATGTGCTCAAGCAGAATGTATGTATGGATTAAAGGCAATTCCGTGAACAGTGCATCAGGGTTGAATCCTGTCACCATATTTATTTAACCTTCACGCTCAGCAAATAATCATAGAGCTGAATTATATGAAGAAGAATGCAGCATCAGGGTTGGAGGAAATTTTATTAACACCCTGAAATATGCAGATGCCAGAACTTCACTTGCTGAAAGTGAGGAGGACTTGGTGATGAAGATCAAGATTTGCAGCCTTCAATATGGATTACAACTCAATGTAAAAAAATAAAAAATCCTCATAACTGGACCAATAGGTGACATCATGCTAAGCCCAGAAAATATTGGATTTGTCAAGGATTTCATCCAGTTTGGCTCCACGATCAATGCTCGTGGCAGCAGAAGTCAAGAGATTAGAAGACACATTAAATTGAATAAATCTGCTGCACGAGATCTCTAGTTTACAACCTGTGGATCGCAACCCCTTTTGGGGTCAAATGACCATTTCACAGGGGTCACCTAAGACCATCAGAAAGCACACATTTCCGATGGTCTTAGGAACTGAGACACTGCTCCTGCATCTGTCTCCAGGCAAGTCCGCCCACATGCAAATATGCCCATATAAAAGTACCCAGCATGAAGACTGTTACCCATATTACACTATGCTTCAAGACAAAATTTCATTTATTTGTAATTAGAAATAAATATTTCACAATATATAATTACATGTTGTTTTTGTGATTAATCACTCTGCTTTAGTTATGTTCAATTTGTAACAAAGGAAATACATCCTGTATATCAGATATTTACATTAAGATTCATAACAGTAGTAAAATTAAAGTTATGAAGTAGCAACGAAAATAATTTTATGGCTGGGGGTCACCACAACATGAGGAACTGTATTAAAGGGTCATGGCATTAGGAAGGTTGAGAACCACTGCTCTGGAGTGTTAAAAAAAAGCAAGGATGCTACTTTGAGCACTAAGGTGGCCCTGGGTCAAGTCATGGGGTTTTCCATTACCTCAGGGCCATGTGAAAGTTCAACACTGAATAAAGAAGACGGAAGAAGAATCAATGCATTTGAAAAATGCCAAAGTATATTGAAAGTACTACCGACTGTCAATGGAGCAAACAAACTTGCCTGAGAAAAATATAGCCAGAATGCCTCTTGGAAGCAAGGATGGTGAACCTTCGTTTCATGTACTTTGGTCATGTTTCAGGACAGACCTGTCCCTGGAGAGGGATCTTATGCTTGGTTAAGCAGAGGGCCATGAAAATAGACCCTGGAAAAGATGGATTGATGCAGTGGATGTGCTTATAAGGATGGCGCAGGGTAGTATATTAAACAACAAATCAAGCTATTATGTTGTACATAAGTTTGATTTGAAGGCTCCTATTAGCAACCACAATAAGCTAGGCCCTGGTGCGGAGTAGCTAACAGTTGGGCTGCTATTTCTAAGGTCAGAACTTCAGAACCACCAGTTGCTTCTGGGAAAAAGTCAAGTCTTTCTACTCCAGGTCCAAGTTTCAATCTCAAAAACCCACAGGGCCAGTTCTACCCTGTCCTACAGGGTCACTATGAGTTGGAATGGGGCCCCTGGCAGTGAGTTTTTAACAACAACAATAACAAAGAACAATAATAACACGAGTGTTGCAAGATTATTATAGTAAACATTTCCTGGGGCTGCTGAAGGGGTCTCCTGATTAAGATCTTGTCTCTAGAGACTCTTTTCTCTAAGAACATAAAATACGTATCTTTTGTTAAGTCTGATGGTATCCGGACTTTACCTTAGCTCAATGAGAAAATTATTCTTTAGTAATAGACTTTTAACTCTGTATTAGGGTCGCTGTTTATTAGCAAAGTTAGCATGGGTCAAGATGTAGTCAGCACATAGCTTCAAACCACCCATTTTACTTTGATCGTGCTCCTTAATTTTAGGGCTCCTGCATATGACATCCTTGGTAAGTCAGCAGCTACAGATTGTAGCAAAATGGTGTTTGGTTTATTCGTAGGTCAATTACCCTCAATTTGCCTTAGGTCTTTGTTCAAATGTCATTCTTTTTTAAGACTTCTCTGACTATTTAAAATGCATCCCAATACCAAACACAAACACATACTTCTCCTTTCCCTCCCGCCCTTACTTGTTCTCCATAATACTTATCACTGTGTTCTTCGTTACATACTTATCACATATTGTCTATCTCTCCTTAGTAGGAAATTCCTATGTGGAACAAATGGAGAAAGGTTCACACTTATCAACTGGGAGAATCAAAACTTGAACTCACCCAGTGGTGCCTTAGAAAACAGGTCTTAGTTTGCTCCTGGAAAATCCAATGGAGTAGTTTCTCTCAGCGTAGTGGATTCTCCAAGGGTAGGTATTGCCTGGAGGGAAACCATCATGAGCAACCCTTTGAAAAAACACAAACACTGTAAGAGTGGAGATAATTGTAAGTACTCGGATACCTCTTTGGAAGGAGCAATTGCAATGCTGTGGGTTAGACTTCCGCCTGCTAACAGCAGGGCCCACAGTTCAAATCCACCAGCTGCTACTCAAGAAATCAGGCTGTTTGTTCCAATCAAGTTTTACAGCCTCAAAAATCTTGAGGTCTAAATACAGGCCTGTACATGTGTAAATATTTATATAAATGTGGATCTGGAAATAGATTTATGTGCATATAT